GTGTTTTACTTTACGTGAAGAATCCTGAATGAAGTTTTGCACGCAGAGATCAATGTTCAATGAACTCTAGCATAAGAGCATATCCGCGATGTAAACTTGAACGCCACAATAACACAACGTAATTAATCTATGGTGCAAAAGTCCTCCAGCACAACAGCTCAAATCGTCGATAGTCAAAATTATTCGCACCACATCAGCCAGACGTTATAAACGAAATACGAGTTGGCGTGCGAGTTGATGAAAGAGGAAAATTGTTGATTATAAAAAAAAAAAATGTTATCAGGTGTTTTGCACGAGTTGCGGGGGGTTGTTGGTGACAGTTGGCTCCAATATGAATGGTTGCATTTTGCAAAGCGTTGCCAGCTACTCAACTGAGTAGAAACGGAAAAGAAAATTCGTGGGGCCAAAGAACGTAAATGTATAACAAAGAACGTAAATGTACCAAAGAACGTAAATGTATAAGAAGCGACAACTCGTTACTTTGAAAATGTGCCGGGACGATTTTGACCGTATCCAAAGAACGTAAATGTATAAGAAGCGACAACTCGTTAAAGTCGGCGAGTGAGGTCTGAAAGGTTGAGATGAGGAGTTCGCGTCCGTTTTAACATCCATTTTCGTAAATGAATTCGCCGCACATATGGTTTCGCGGCGATAAAGAACGTTAAGAAAAAGTGACCGATGATAGAAATAATAAAATGAAATGAAAAAAAAACATGGCCGCAGCTACGCTGAAAAAAATTTAAGCCGAAAAAACGATGAAATGGAAGCAGTAATTGGATTGAGTGAATTATTAGACGAATTGCTAGATTCGTCTTCATCATCGGAAGAAGAGATTGAGGCGGTTCTTTTAAGAAGAAACCCTTATCCACGCGTGCAAGACTTCATAGTAAATGTTGTTCACTCCTACACCGAGTTGGAGGTAAGTGCTTTAATATGGCTGAGGAAAGAAATTTTTAATACATTTTATTTACATTGCAGTTCAAAACAAACTTCCGCATTACCCGCGGCAGTGCAGAATATCTCGTGGCAAGGTATTCCTCTAGCAGATGGTATGTAAAAAGGAGCTACAAGGGAGGCAGACTGCAATCTACAGCGGAAACTCATATGCTTTCTTTTTTGTGGTAAGATGCAAGAAATACACCAAAATATCTACGAATTTATTACAAAGGTTTCATTGATTACACGTATTATAGGTTTAGCGCTAACAAAACTACGTTCAGAGAAGTAGCAAACCTTTTTGGCGTGACGTTGTCGAACATTCATTTCACCTTCAATAAAGTTTTGAGTTTCTTAGTGGAAGCTGTTGCGTCGGAGTCAATAAGATTTCCAAAGGAAGATGTTGAGAAAGAAGCTATTGCGAAGGAATTTGAAAAGGTTTATATTAAAACTTAAAAGTTGGTTATTAAAGCACTTTTAAAAAATGTTCTTTATGACGTTAATAGATTGCTGGGTTCCCAAACGTTTTGGGCTGTCAACTTCTTCATTCGCTTTTTCATTACTTTGGTCATCCGGTTCATCATTGTTTTCTTCCTGCTCGTTGTGTGATGAGGCGATATTTAAACGGCCTTTCTGAATTTTTCTTGTGCTAGGCAAGGATTTTGAGAGACGTTCCAAAACAATTTCTGTTTTTATAAGACCCGCCGAACAGCCGGCACAGATAAGGTATTTTGGAGGGAACTCAACATGATCACCAATTATAAAGTTTATTACACTAGACAATTGTGTGCCTAGTACTATTTCCTTGGGATTAAATAGTTTGGAATACTTATTCTTACACAAACTGCACGTATCCATTTTGGTTATTTTCCTGAAGCCGACTTTAATAAAAAATCGTGGTTCACGTCTCTTCTTCATGTTCCACGGAAAACACCCCCCAAAAAAGTCTGGATCTGCCGCTGGGCCTGTGTTATTTTTGATTATGTACTTGGACGTGAAATAACAGATTTTCTAAAACTTGTTAAGCATTTTTACGCTCCAATGCAACAAACATACTTTTTTAAGCCATCTTACAAATGCTTTTATTAAGATGAAAAATCCCCACAGACAAATATTGCCTGATAAAACTTATACATATTTGGCAAACAAAATGGCATATGGTAGGCAATAAATTTCACCTTTGAAGACGCGTCGTTAGCTAGTCTTTCAGTGTTGTAAAGGGTAATACGGCTTTCCCACGGCTTAATTACTTTGTTCGCTTCTCCTACTACGATCGCGAATTAGCTCATTCCCACGGGCACATTCTTAATTCGATTTGACAGTGTTTTGTTTTTTTCTTCGCTACAAAATTTATCCACAATGTAAGTTATTGCTAAAAATCTGTAAGTTTCCGTATTAAATTGGTGATGTACACATGTATAAACTTTACTTTTCGTACTCAGAAAAAGTGCCAGTTTTGGTTTGTGAACTGGTTTCGATAAATTTCGGATAAAAATTAGAGAAGGCAGCGATATGTTCGTAATTCGCATTCTAATTGGATTTGAAATTGAATGAGGTAATTCGCTGTCAAAATTTTGTATGGCGAATTATATAATTCGAAGGGTAATTGGAGTGCGAATTATGAATGAGGGAGCGAACCACGTAATTTGGGTGCCGTGGGAAAGCCATATTAAATATTATTGATTAAGACTAAAAGGCGTGTGTACTGTTCCACTTTCACGGGTGGTTAGTTGAATCAAAAGTTTACATTTAACTGAATGTTGAACAATGTAAACTCCTTTGAAATACAATGACTATGTACGATTATGAAATAATAATATTCTGAACGAAATTTTAGGAAAATATCATCACCGCTATAAAACGTGAACAGGAGGACAAGGACGACATTTTTGCTCAAAAGGAGGACAGAGAAGGACAATATTT